TCAAACTACCATAAATTGGATTCATTTATAAAAATAACCCAAATCACTTTTTTTTTCATGTATCAAATGTTCATATGCATGTTTGCGAGTGTTTTATTGGTTCGTGTGTCAAGTAAGGTCAACAAAAGTATTTAATGAAAATTAAAATCTCCCTATTGTGTTACTATGACCAAGCTATAATGTTCAAAATCTCATGACAGTAATATTTGAAATCTGATTCGTGTGGATTTGGCCTAATTCCCTAAAAAAACCCCAATTTTAGGTTTAGACCCAAATCCACCCCAAACTTTTTTTTGTCCCCTAAAAAACCATCAACTTCTAATTAGTTCCCAAATTTACCCCACAGTTAGATTTCCGTCCAATTTACACCGTTAAAGTCCCCGTGCAATTCCACCTGTCTAACTTTCTTATTCTTTTTTCCTTTTCATTTTCTCTCTCCTCACCCTCGCCCAAGTCCCACATCATCGACCGTTAGAACTCTCCATCTTCTCTCTCTCCATCGATCCCAAAGCAAAGGTTAGCAGAAAAATTTCATTTTCTTCTTTAGCATCCGTAGGACCATGAGCCCGCAAATCGGACGGTGGTCCGCACCTTGTACGAGGCCCTCCAATTCTGCGACTGTGATGCCATCCACCGCATCCTTGCCCCAACCTTGAGTGATGGTTCCATCCCCCAAGTTCTTGATGCACCTCCTCACCGGCGCCTCCTACACCACATCGGACGACACCTTCCTCTTCGTCCCCGACTCCGTCACCTCCTTTGGCCCCACTGTGACATCTGGAAATTTCGTAATAATAAGGAATTGACGTTGGAGGTTTTCCATGTTCAAAAATGATTCTTAGATAATAAAGCTAAGTATTATTTAAGTTAGTATTCGTGCAGACGCGTAGAAATTGTTGTTAGACCGTAAATTGCGAGGCGCGGATTCGGGAACGTAATTGTTCCGAGCTCGATGTATTTAAAATTTTAAATATTGATGTGTACGTTAATAATAGTGCGGTATTAATTAAATTACCGTTGTTTTGGTAATTAGTTGGTATTATTATTATTGGTTAATTTTGGTTAAGTAGTGTTAGCCATTTTATTTTAATTTGCCGTTAAGGGAAGGGGGGGAGATATTCTCATAAAATATCTCTTCTGGACTCTTCCTCTCTCACGTGGCTATTATAGGAGAAGCTTGACCGAATGCAATTTGTCCTCCTAAGCCAAGTTTCTTGTTTGACACTTAGCCTAAGCAATCATTTTCCTTAGCCACTACTCCTTCTGATCAAGCCCTTGATTTCTTATACCTGGCCTTGATGGAAAGATGAGGTGCCACCTGTGAGTGCATCATATTTATCCACCTCAACGTATACTCATTTATCTCATTTCATCTGGGTAACACCGAAGGAACTTTCATCCCCAAACGGAAACTCTTTTTCACCGTCAATCTTCAAAGAGTTTTTACCTTTATGAACACCCAATCCGAAATCTATAAGCTGGTTTTGGGCGTTCAGATTTTAGGCGAGGTAAGTGAAGACTCTAGATTTAAGCTAAGTAAATCTACTTGGCACTTTTTAACTTGGTTGCTTGAGAAATGCTATTCCGATGTGTGTTAATAGTGAGGATATGGTGATAGTTGGATCTGTTCTGCTGGTTCTGTACATGTTCAAGTGAAGGTGATTTGTTTCTTTAAAGTGTGATGGAAATTGGCAAGTGGAACTGTTAAATCTGAACGTGTGAATGTTATCTTTGAGGTGATTATTGAATTCTTCTTGCTGGTTTTATTTATGTTCAAAAAGGTAGAAAATCGTTTTACTCAAAGTAATAATTTTGTTTACTTCTGAAATGAGTAAATTTTAACCTCAAATTCTGGTTCTGTCTACTTTATGTTCAGACTTTATGCTTAGACTTTACCTTTAGACTTTACTGCTTAGATTTTACCGCTCAAACGTTACCTTCAGACTTTACTGCTCAGACTTTACCTTCAGACTTCACTGCTCAGGCTTTACTGCTTAGGCTTTTCCTCAGACTTTACCGCTCAGACTTTCTTGATCAAACTTTACTTCTAAAACTGTTCAGACTTTACGGTCAAAATCTGGTTCTATCTGTTTTTAAAACTAACCAGAACTTACTTTCAAAGTCGGGATATATATTTTGAACCAAGTAGACTTTACTTTCTTAATCTGAATTTGTTTCTGAGTCTGAACTTGCTTCTAAGTCTGAACTTGTTTCTAAGGCTGAATTTGCTTCTGAGCCTGAACTTTCTTCTGAGCCTGAAATTGTTTTTGAGTCTGAACTTGCTTCTAGGTCTGAACTTGTTTTCTAAGTTTGATTACCTACTGTTCAGACTCGCCTATCCAGAATCGGTATTGTCTAAACCAAGAAAGTTTTATATCAAAATCTGGATATGTGTACTTTCTAGACTTGAGTAGACTTCAGCCTTTTGAGTCTGAACCTGTATTGCTTCGTACTTATGGGCTCGAATGATACATTTCATTGCTCTAAAGGATATGTGATGTAAAAAGAAGGATAATATATGCATGCAAATACTTAGTTATCATGGCTTGCATGAGGATAATAAATGCATGCAAATACTTAGTTATCATGGCTTGCATGAGGATAATATATGTATGCAAATACTTGGCTACCATGACTTCATGAGAATAATATAAATTTCATCGCCCATACAGTGGTGTGTGACGATGCCCCGTGTGTCGGGATGCCCTGGGGAGTGTTTCGGCATGCCTCAGGAGTTGAGATGCCCTATTGGTCGGGATGCCCTGCTGTGTGGTACATGATGCCTCGAGAATTTTGGGATACCCTGTTGTGTGGTACAAGATGCCTTAGGAGTTTCGAGATTCCCCGTTGTGTGGTACGGGATGCCCCGAGAGTGTTCGGGAGGAGAAGAAATAAACTTAATGCATGAATATGAGTGTTATATACCATATGCTTGCGTCTGAATGAAAATATTGTGGAATAATGGGGTGCTTTGATTTGTATGGCATATTCAGATGGAAAAGGCATAACATTTATGCAAGTTCTATTCATACTGTTGTTATGCATGTATGTTGTTTGTGCCAAGTGAAGTGATAAGCTGATTTTCCTAACTTAAAACTAGAGATTTCATTTACTGGGCCCCAGCTCATTCCTTCATTTTTCAGACATGTAGGAATGGACAATCTGCTGCCAATGTTTACCGGTTTCCCTAAACAATAATGTTTGCCAGTATGTTGATATGCTTTTCCAGGGGCGTATCTACTACATGGGTTGATGTGGGACTTCCGGAGTGGGTTCCTCATCGGTTTATGACATAATAAATGAACCTCAATGGCGACTTGGCTGGGCCGTTGCGGGATTTTGGTTGATATGAAGGCAGCAACACCTATGACTTGTTGAAAAGTCTACTTTTGCGCGGGCTGTCTTTGGAGTGAATTGAAGCATGGAGATAGGTAATCTCGACCTATCCAGATATTTGTTCTTTGTGATTATATGATATATTGTCTGGACTTATAATTCTGACATGGGTTGTTAATAAGAAGTTAAAGTATTTTTGTTTAAACTTATTCAAACTTTAGCTTCCGCGGGCCAAATTATTAATAATATTAATTGGCACGCGTCGCGCGTGACGTTCTTGGGCATCACACCCACTGTGATCACCGAAGGCTTTGACCCAACCCGCTCCATCTTGTGGGTCAACTCCTAGACTGTCTCCGCCAATGGGATGGTCACCCAAGTGAGGGAGTACTTCAACACCTTGCTTACCATCACGCGATTCGACAACTCCCTGCCATCGGATTCGTGATGGCTGAGATCGCCTCACTGCGTTATTTCCAGTCAATGTGAGAGAGCAACGTATTTAGCCGGATTGGAAAGTCCATGCCCGGTTTGGTTCTCGCCGGACCTGGCGGCAGTAATGGCCTTGGAGATGTGGTCCTCGTCAATGGGGACAATTTTGTCGTTGATCTCGAGGTAGAGGTCCAAACGATCGGTGTATGGGTTGTCTTGGAGCCGCATAATGGGAGGGATTCGCGTGCGAATGCCCTGCCTCATGGCAGGTTGATGCCGGTAAAGGACACGAGGACGGTCGACTAGTCGGCAGACCGGTTGCCGACGATGACAATGCTGGGGAGCTGGATTCCCTCCTCCATGACCAAAGGGTGTGGAAGCTTGTCGAGCAAGGGCGGATCTAGTTGTTGTAGGGGAGAGGAAGAGAGAGAGCTCATAACACACAGAAGGGATTAATGGGGGACAGAGAGAAGGAAAGTGATAAAGAGCGAGAGTTCGACAAAAGAACACTACAAGTGTTATAAGTTGTGTACGGTGCTCACTTTGGTACCAAAAGTTTTTTTTGGATCACTTAAGTGCTAAAATTTTTGAAAAACGATCACTTAAGTGCCAACTCCGGTGCCGTACACAACTTTTCGCCGGAAATCCGACGTGGCATTTTTTTTTATTAATTTCTGAAGCTGACATGGCTCGCCGGAGTTGGCACTTAAGTGATCGTTTTTCAAAATTTTTAGCACTTAAGTGATCGTTTTTCAAAAAATTTAGCACTGAATTGATCAAAAAAAACTTTTGGCACTTAAGTGATCGTTTTTCCTCCGATTTGGCACTTAAGTGAGCCAGCAGAAACTTTTGGCACTAAAGTGAGCGCTGTACACAACTTATGGCACTTATAGTGTCATTTTGCCGCGAGAATTCTGACAAAGTCGGACTTGGGAGATAGTAAGGAGAGAGAAAAAGTCAAATAAAATAAGAAAGTTTGACACATGGCACAACTGTGGACTTTAAAGGTATAGATAGGATGGAAATGTAATGGAGGGCAGATTTGGGAATCCATTGAAAAAAATTGGTGGTCTTTTATGTGACAAAAAAAAGTTTGGGGCAGATATGGATATAGACTTAAAGTTCAAAGTTTTTAGGGAATTAGCCCGTGTGGATTTCGGTGATCTGATTTGGCTTCTAGGTCAATCCACCAACACCTTCATAAAGCCCTCCAAGTCCCTCAAAATCCATTCATGGCGGGGAGACGGTGTCTCATTTCTCCACCGGAGGCTGAGGAGGTTGATCACAGGCACTTGCCTGACGTCATAATCCACCACATCTTCTCCTTCTTGCCCTTCAAAGACGTGGTCAAGACAAGCGTGTTGTCCAATCAATGGCGTTTCGCTTGGACCTCCACTCCAAACAGATCTCTCTCTCCCCTCAGAGGGTGTCCTCCTTCGATCAGCGGAGCACTGAGTCTTTGCACAGCTACTACGGTAGAGAAGTTCCATCTTGATGCTTCTATGTCTGATTTATGCACCCGCACTGAACTTGATCGGTGGTTTCGCTTCACCGCGGTGCGCAAAGTGGAAGATGCTTCGTTGGTCTTTGGACGACGCTGGCATCACGACGTACCTCGAATCTTGTGCGGTTGCGCGTCGCTGGTGAGCTTGCGAGTGTCTAATTGTACTTTTTCAAGTTATGTTACCATCCACTGGCCTTCACTTAAGAAATTGTGCATTCACGACGTTTTCTTGGACAGCGATGGGATTATGAAAATCTTGAGCGGGTGCCCTGTTGTTGAATCTCTTAAGTTGCATGTGCATTGCAATCTCCGGATGAATTCAATATCTCTAAGAGAGTTGGTGATAGAAGCCGTTTATATTTCGTCGCTCCATATTTCGACTCCGAATCTGCTTTCATTGCGTTTGTCGGGCGGATTTGACTACATAAGCTTTAGACCAAGTGGAGTATCTTCATTAGCAGAGGCAGAGTTGAACTTTGACAAGCCAACTGAGTTTGGTCGCCGCTTTGCTGACCATTTGAAGTTCCTTCCTTCTCCTGACCGGTTGAAGTTCCTTCTTGAGGAGCTGCAACATGTCGCGAAAATCACAATCGGAAGCTGGTGCCTTGAGGTGCGAGTTGATTTTGTCTGGTCTTTCTTCCTTTTCGATGGGTATGTTATTGATGTATATTTATCGAAACCAGGGAATTCCCTATTAAAGATTATTGTTAGTTATATTTTTTTATATTTCCTTATTTTTTAGGATAGCTAGTTTCCTTGTTAAATTAAGCTAATCATTTTCCATATTATAGATTACTTCCTTTTCTTTTCGTAATGTACGGCTATAAATACCCGTAATTGTGACCCAAGAAAATCACGTTATTGAATAAAGATGTAGCCTCGAGTATTTTATATCTCCCTCTCCCTTGATAGCAAAGGCTGCTGCTGCATGTTATGTCCTTCTTCTTGTCCCTGTAGGCCGGTGCCGATCCATTTCGCTCTTAAAGCTTTGTATCTGAAGGCAGAGAATCTTGTCGTGCGAGAATTGGTTTTTATCAGCATAGTCGCCAGCTGCAGTTTTCATGCACATGCATCTACGTAAAAGCTTATGCTTGATGGTAAAACTTATGTCTGATTTTTTAACTCAGTAACTTGAATGGCCGGACCTTATTCGGCATTTCGATGTTATATCTTGTTCCACGGGCATCAGGTGATGCTAAAGCATTAGTTGATCAAGCCCACGACCGAGGTGATTCCTCATTTGTGGAAAAAGATATTCCTGTTAAAAAAAAGAAGAAGATATTCCTGTTATCAAACATATAGGGACCTCAACAGCTAAGTTCATAATAAAATGAGCAGTTTTTTGTATTAAAGCTTTCATTCTTGGTAGAAATAGAAAGTAAAGAAATAGTCATATCTTGCTCTGCTACTTGGTTCACAATTCAAGTGGTTTTCAGGTTCTGTCAGCCCTTGAGGTAAAGGGAAAGTCGTACCTATCATCGAGATGGCGCAATATCATAGTGTACACTACAGTTTGTAAACGCGACCTTCTAGGGATGGCATATTTGCTGCAGAGTTCGCCACTCCTGGAAAGGCTAGTCATATGCAATCCAAAATCTGATAATATCACGGCATAAATCTATCTTTGGTTCTGGATACAGTTACATGTATGCTTTTGCAGTCAACCTCATATCATCTACTTTCGGGCTTTTTACCGTGAGCTGCTGAAGTACAATCAAGTCACTTGTTGCCATTTATGTTTTACACGTGTTTGCATTTACTTAACATAAACAAATTGGTGTGTGAAAAAGTTGGGATGCTTAGGAGCTACATAGAAAAAGTAGATTGTTCTGTAGCAAAGGATGTGATAATTGATTAATTTGAGTACGTGAGAACTTATCATCTGTTATACCAGATCAGACAAGCTTATTTGTTTTACAATTTGTTTTGAACTTAATGTCACTGCTACGTTATCACTTCTTCTAGTTAGCTATGAAAAAGCTACTATGGATGTATGTTTTCAGTTCGACAACAAGGATTATCCGGAGCTCTACGACTTTGATGAAAAGCAATTTTGGCACTCACAGAAGGGGTTCTATTGTGTGGCAAATCATCTTAAAAGGGTTGAAATTGTTGGGTTCGAATTTGACAATGAGAAATAAAAACTTTTGCTTGCCCTGGCTAAGTTTTTTCTGGAGGAGGCAGTTGGATTGGAGAAGATGATAATTGATGTTGAATTAAGGATGTCGCGTCGAGGAGTACCCATGGACCCTCTTGATCTTTGGGGTATCCAAGTTGTGATTCAGCTGCAAGAAGGTTGTCGGAGAGCGTCTCGAAATGCTGAAGTTATAGTCAATTATTTCAATGGACTCCCTACGAAAGCATAAGCAAATCACAGGTACACAGTCCATTTTTTAGATTGCATGACATAGGTAGCTTTGACATGGAAATAAAACTGCTCCTCTTTTTATGCCACTTTTGACGGTGGGTGAATAAGTTGGGTTTAACATAAGCTTTCATGTTGCTTCGTTTTGAGTTTTTCGAGTTTAAGATTTCGTTTGGATCGAGCTTCTTTGACTTTCATTGGCAATTTTTTCTCTAGAATCCTTAGTTTTTCATTACATTTCAAGTAACGTATGGTTCAATTATGCGAACGGCTTAATGTAACCAGATGGCAAGACCACCGTGTTTGTTCATTAGGTTGTGAAAATGGTTTACCTATCCTACAAGGAGGAGTTCAACTTTCCCTTCTTCTTGGGTAAAGCCAAAGTTTCGTATGTGAATGTCATGGGGTGGCCTCTGAACTGCAGACGATTGATGATTCGCGCTTAGCCATTAACGTCTGACATACATTCGATCTTGAGCCTCCTTTTAAGCCTCGAGTTAGTTGCATTGATGTGAGACTCCTTTTGGCAAGGGTCAAAGGAATAGGCGCCTGGGTCCATGGTAAATGCTCCTATTGGAGTTGTCGTGCCTTTGCAACTTATACGTGAAAAATATTACATAGACTCAAGTCTATCTAGACCAGCACTATCATAGCATGCCCCCAAGAACCTATATGATCAATAACTATGATCTATTTAATTACTTCTTTAGCATGCGTAATATGTAATGGGCCCAAGCGCTTCTATTTATATTATATGACAATTGACCTTGCCATGAAAGGCATATGCAAATCTCTCTATGTAATAAAAAAAAATGCAAAGGAGGGTATCAATCACAAACTTTACCATTAAATACCATAAAATATCATTTGGCACATTATAATCTCTTAATACAAAACGTGAGTTAAATTCTAACCTATATAATTAAGGTTGGAATTGAGAGAATGCTTGCTCGTATGTTCGGCAAGGGGCACTTCTTTTGTCCGTTATGATAGCCACATGGCAAGACACACGACATAGTTTTGCCATGCGGCTCGAATTCAACCAATAAACTTTTAGCTTATTCATTTATCATCTCCTAACTTTTATCTTTAACTTAAATGTCAAAACATGGATAAAACAAAAGTCTATCGAAAATTTGTTTTTTCTTGAGTTTAAAATCGGAGAAATGGATAAATTAGTGAAAGTGGATGAAAACAAAATTGAGTTAAAATCAAAAAAATATTCAAATAAAAAGAGATTTTTGTATCGTTGACAAAAGAATGAATCAATGAAAACATTGATGGACTAATTTGGTAAAGGAAAGTCACTATTTTCAACAAATTAATACTTTGTTTTGTCGAGGATTCTTTATCATAACATTTTTTTTTACTTTAGTTTGATAAAATGAACTCATTCAATAAGAAAAAAACTAGTTCTATGACAAAGTGGTCTGAAAGAAATAAACTTATTCGTGCCACATACCCAGAAGGTTCATTATGTCCGGAACTCCACATTAGTGTTAGCAACGGTAAAAGGTGGAAGGACACAATTGAACAAATTGTGAACTCATCCACTGTTATTGCGCCATGTAGGATGATCGGCATCCACATCAGCGATTTCTGATCAAAATTAACAAGATTGACTTAATTGGCAAAACGTGAAAAGACTTAAGACTGAATTGGCACAATTAAAATGCTTAGGACTGAATTGGCGAAAGTGCAATGAGTTTATGACTTTTTTGGACAATTTTCCTTATTTCAAACAAGACATTAACCCGCACATCATGGCACAAGAGATATCTATATAAATTAGAAGGGAAAATGCTAATTAATCAAAAGATTATAATCTTGTGTTACCGGTGAGTAACTTTTTTATTATGACAAAGGGAAACATAACTACAATTCTTTACTTGAAAAGTTCACAATCTATCAATGGACAAACGCATAATTTGATAACTCTGAACAAGTTCGTAATTTGATAACTCTATTTTATCTCTTGCTTATTTCGATTTCAAAATTTGAATTTTGTCTATCTTATACACAACTTTACAAAGATTATTCAAATTTTGTAACACTCCTTTCTTCCCACATATATGTGTGCAAGTTTCTTCATATTGTGTGAATAACTTCTTTCCATTAATTAATAATTCAAATATTTCGTAATAAGGTGGTTTTGCAAAATCTTTTAAGTTTCAATCTTTTGCAAACACGCAGCCTGTATGAGCCTTGGCTAGTAACAATAGATAAATAGAAGAAATTCCTTGATGCACAATTTCATCTAAAATTGCTCATATACGCAACAAGAAAACGTAAATTGCACTAAATGGAAATCCATTAGGATTCTAAATAAGTCGTGTTATGGTGAAGGAAATAGAAAAAGGTATGAAACGATAATAACAGTGAGTTTCCAAAGGCTCCTAGAAAGCAATCATATATTCAATTTTTGATTCAAAGAAACTATTTAAAGAAACAAAGTGCTATATATAGATATATGCGTATATTATAAGTTACAGATGCTTCTGCACTATATATTGAGTGTTTTTCCCCTCAAATCACCAATTTTAAACAATTTGGCTTCAAATAATGATTATAGATTATCTCTACAAGTATAGAAAACGTTTTCTTTTTTATTGGTCTTTGCTTGATTTTGGAGGAGGCATATAATCTATCAAGATTGTTTGTTTTATTGTGCGTGATAATGCTAACTAGTTTTGAGTTAAAATTTTCAATTAAATAAATAATTCTTCAATCTCTCCATACCACAAGGGAAACTAAAAGCCTTTTTCAACTTCATATTTAAATATCACACCCTTATCATAAATTTCTAAAAGATTTAAAATTACTTATACTAAAATAACTTGGATTCATATACTAAAATAACCCAAAATCACTTTTTTTTTTTTGTTTCATGTATCAAATGTGCATGTTCATGTTTGTGTGTGTTTTATTGATTGGTGTGTCAAGTGAAGTCAACAAAAATATCTAATGAAAATTAAAATCTCCCCAGTATGTTAATATGACCAAGCTATAATGTTCAAAATCTCATGACCATAATATTCGAAATCTGATTCGTGTGGATATCGGTGATCTGATTTGGCTTGTACGTCAATCCGCCAACACCTTCTTCATAAAACCCTACGAGTCCCTCAAAATTCATTCAAGGCGGGGAGATGGCGTATGTTGTGGTGGAGGTGGTTGATCACATCAGCCGCTTGCCGGCCGCCATAATCCACCACATCTTCTCCTTCTTGCCCTTCAAAGACGTGGTGAAGACCAGCGTGTTGTCCAAGCAGTGGCGTTTCGCTTGGGCCTCCACTCCATACATCCATCTCTCTCTCCCGTCAGCGGGTGTCGTTCCTTTGATCAGCAGAGCACTGAGTCGCTGCACAGCTACTAAGATAGAGAAGTTCCATCTTGATGCTACTAAGTCTGGTAACGACGTCCTCATTGACCCCGATTGGTGGATTCGCTTCGCCGTGGCGGGCAAAGTGAAGCACGCTTCGTTTGTTTTTGGATCCTTCAAACAGGACGTGCCTCGATTCTTGTGCAGTTGCGCGTCGCTGGTGAGCTTGCGACTGTCTAACTGTCTTTTTTCACGGGATATTACCATCCACTGGCCTTTACTTAAGAAATTGTGCCTACACTACCTCCCCTTTCAAAAGGATCAGATCATGAATATCTTAAGCGGGTGCCCTGTTCTCGAATCTCTTACGTTGCAGCGTTCGCATCCCTCGCTCGGCACTTGCGATCTCCGGATCGATTCGAGATCTCTGAGAGAGTTGGTGATCGAAAACGTTTATATACTGTCGCTCGATGTTTCGGCTCCGAATCTGCTTTCATTGCGTTTGTCGGGCATGTTTGTCCCCCCAGGCTTTAGACTAAATGGAGCATCTTCATTAGCAGAGGCAGAGTTGAACTTTGACAAGCCAACTAATTTTCGTGGCTGCTTTCTTGAACGAATGAAGTTCGTTCTTGAGCAGCTGCAACATATCGCGAAAATCACTATGGGAAGCTGGTGCCTTAAGGTGCGAGTTGATTTTGTTTGGTTAAAGAATATTGTCAGTCAATTTTTTTTTGTACTTGGTTTTTTTCTGGGATAGCTGGTTTCCTTATTAGATTAAGACAGTCATTTTCCTTATTAGTTAGATTACTTCCTTTTCTTCACCTATTATTCGGCTATAAATACCCGTAATTGCGACACAAGAAAATCACGTTCTATGTCCTTTTTGTCCCTGTAAGCTGGTGCTGATCCATTACGCTCTTAAAGCTTTGTATCAAAAGGCAGAGAATCTTGTCATGCGCGAATTGGTTTTCTTTTTCCCTCATGTTAAATTCACGAAAAGAGTCAATCAGTTTGCTCCGCTAAGTACCACCAAATCAATCAAATTCGTAGTATTGTTGTATCTAAATTGGTCCACACTACCCTTTTTCTTTATCAGCAGAGTGGCCATTTGCAGTTTTCATGCGCGTTAAAGCTTATGCTTGATGGCAAATCGTTTGTCTAATCTTTTAACTCAGTAAGTTGAATGGTCGGACCTTGTTCGGCCTTTCAATGATATGTTTGGTTCCATGAGCATCGAATGATGCTAAAGCAGTAGTTGATCAAGCATTGACCGAGGTGATTCCTCATTTGCAGAAAAAGATATTCCTGTTATGTCAGGCATATATAGACCATAACAGCTAAGTTCATAATAAATGAGCGGTTTTTCGTATCAAAGCTTTTGTTCTTGGTAGAAATAGAAAGTAAAGCATTGGTCATATCTTGTTCTGCTACTTGGTTCACAATTCAAGTTGTTTTCAGGTTCTATCAGCAGTTGAGGTAATGGGAATGTCGTACCTATCATCGAGATGGCGTAACATCATAGTGTATACTACATTTTCTAAAAGCAACCATCTAGGGATGGCGTACGTGCTGAAGAGTTCTCCACGTCTGGAAAGGCTGGTCATATGCAATCCAAAATCTGATAATATCACGGTATTAATCTATCTTTGGTTCCGGATACAGTTACATGTATGCTTTTGCAGTCAGCCTCATATCATCTACTTTCGGGCTTTTACCATGAAGCTGCTGAAGTACAATCAAGTCTCTTGTTGCCATTTATGTTTTGCACGTGTTTGCATTTACTTAACATAAACAAATTGGTGTGTGAAAAAGTTGGTATGCTTAGGAGCTGCATGGAAAAAGTTAATTGTTCTGTAGCAAAGGCTGTGATCATTGATTAATTTGGGTACGTGAGAACTTATAATCTGTTATATCATATCAGACAAGCTTCTTTGTTTTACAATCTGTTTTGTATCACTTCTTCTAATTAGCTATGAAAAAGCTACTATGGATGTATGTTTTCAGTTCGACAACAAGGATTATCCGGAGCTCTGCGACTTTGATGAAAAGCAATTTTGGCACTCACAGAAGGAGTTCTATTGTGTGGCAAATCATCTTAAAAGGGTTGAAATTGTTGGGTTCGAATTTGACAATGAGAAATCAAAACTTTTGCTTGACCTGGCTAAGTTTTTTCTGGAGGAGGCAGTTGGATTGGAGAAGATGATAATTGATGTTGAATTAAAGATGTCACGTCGAGGAGTACCCATGGACCCTCATGATCTTTGGGGTATCCAAGTTGTGATTCAGCTGCAAGAAGGTTGTCGGAGAGCGTCTCGAAATGCTGAAGTTATAGTCAATTATTTCAATGGACTCCCTACGAAAGCATAAGCAAATCACAGGTACACAGTACTTTTTTTAGATTGCATGACATAGGTAGCTTTGACAAGGAAATAAAACTGCTCCTCTTTTTATGCCACTTTTGACGGTGGGTGAATAAGTTGGGTTTAACATAAGCTTTCATGTCGCTTCGTTTTGAGTTTTTCGAGTTTAAGATTTCGTTTGGATCGAGCTTCTTTGACTTTCATTGGCAATTTTTTCTCTGGAATCCTTAGTTTTTCATCACATTTCAAGTAACGTATGGTTCAATTATGCGAACGGCTTAATGTAACCAGATGGCAAGACCACCGTATTAGTTCATTAGGTTGTGAAAATGGTTTACTTATCCTACAAGGAGGAGTTCAACTTTCTCTTCTTCTCGGGTAAAGCCGAAGTTTCGTATGTGAATGTCATGGGGTGGCCTCTGAAGTGCAGACGATTGATGATTCGCGCTTAGCCGCTAACGTCTCACATACATTCGATCGCGAGCCTCCTTTTAAGCCTCGAGTTAGTTGCATTGATGTGAGACTCCTTTTGGCAAGGGTCAAAGGAATAGGCGCCTGGGTCCATGGTAAATGCTCCTATTGGACTTGTCGTGCCTTTGAAACTTATACGTGAAAAATATTACATAGACTCAAGTCTATCTAGACCAGCACTATCATAGCATGCTCCCAAGAAACTATATGATCAATAACTATGATGTTGGTTCAAATCGACGGAGTCTATTTAATTACTTCTTTAGCATGCGTAATATGTAATGGGCCCAAGCGCTTCTATTTATATTATACGACAATTGACCTTGCCATGAAAGGCATATGCAAATCTCTTTGTGTAATAAAAAAACAAATGCGAAGGAGGATTTCAATCTCAAACTTTTACCATTAAATACCATAAAATATCATTTGGCGCATTATAATATCTTAATACAAAACGTGAATTAAAATCCTAACCTATATAATTAATGTCGGAATTGAGAGAATGCTTGCTCCTATGTTTGCCAAGTGGCACCTCATTTGTCCTTTATGATAGCCACATGGCAAGAAACATGACATAGTTTTGCCATGCTTCTCGAATTCAACCAATAAACTTTTAGCTTATTCATTTATCATCTCCTAACTTTTATCTTTAACTTAAATATCAAAACATGTATAAAACAAAAGTATATCGAAAATCTGTTTTTTCTTGAGTTTAAAATCGGAAAAATGGATAAATTAGTGAAAGTGGATGAAAGCAAAATTGAGTTAAAATCGAAATATTCAAATAAAAAGAGATTTTTGTATCGTTGACAGAAGAATGAATCAATGAAAACATCAATGAACTAATTTGGTAAAGGGAAGTCACAATTTTCAACAAATTAATACTTTGTTTTGTCGAGGATTCTTTATCATAACAATTTTTTTTTTTACTTTAGTTTGATAAAATGAACTCATTCAATAAGAAAAGACTAGTTCTATGACAAAGTGGTCTGAAAGAAATAAACTTGTTTGTGCCATATTCCCAGAAAGTTCATTATGTCAGGAGCTCCACATTAGTGTTAGCAAGGGCAAAAGGTGGAAGGACATGATTGAACAAATTGTGAACTCATCCACCGTCACCGCGCCATGTAGGACGGCTAGCATCCATATCAGCGATTTTCGACCAAAATTAGCCGGATGGACTCAATTGGTAAAACGTGAAAAGGTTTAGGATTTAATTGGCATAATTAAAAAGGTTTAAGACTGAATTGGCAAAAGTGCAATAAGTCTAGGACTTTTTTGGTCAATTTTCCCTATTTTAAACTAGACATTAACCCGCATGTCATGGCATTAGACATATCTGTATAAATTAGAAGGGAAAATGCTAATTAATCAAGAGTTTATAATCTTGCGTTACTGGCGAGTAACTTTTTCATTATGACAGAGGGAAACAGAACTACGATTCTTTACTTGAAAAGTTCACAATCTATCGATGGACAAATGCATAATTTGATGACTCTGAACAAGTGCGTAATTTGATAACTATATTTTATCCCTCGCGTATTTCAAGTTCAAATTTTGAATTTTGTCTATCTTATAAATAGCTTTACAAAGAGAATTCAAATTTTCCAACACTCCTTTCTTCCCACATATATGTGTACAAGTTTCTTCATATTGTGTGAATAACTTTCTTCCATTAATTAATAATTCAAATATTTCATAATAAGGTCGTTTTGCAAATTCTTTTCAGTTTCAATCTTTTGTAAACACGTAGCCTGTATGCACCTTAGCTAGTAACAATAGATAAAATTCCTTGTGCAAAATTCTTTTAAGTTTCAATCTTTTGCAAACACACAGCCTGTCTTAGCTAGTAACAATAGATAAATAGAAGAAATTCCTTGATGCACAATTTCATCTAAAATTGCGCATATACGCAACAAGAAAACGTAAATTGCACTAAATGGAAATCCATTAAGATTCTAATTTAGTTATGTTATGGTGAAGGAAATACAAAAGATATGAAACGATATTAAAAGTAAGTTTTTAAAGGCTCCTAGAAAGCAATCATATATTCAATTTTTGTTTCAAAGAAACTATTTAAAGAAACAAAGTGTTATATATAGATATATGCATATATTACAGGTTATAGATGCTTCTGCACAATATACTGAGTGTTTTTTCCCCTCAAATCACCAATGTGAATCAATTTGGATTCACATAATGATTATAAACCATCTCTATAATTATAGAAAAACATACATCGCTTTCTTTTCTATTGGTTTTTTGCTTGATTTTGGAGAAGGCATATAATCTACCTAAGATTGTTTGTTTTAATTGTGTGTAATAATGCTAACAAAAGTATTTAAAGAAAATTAAAATCTGCCCTTATGTTTCTATGACCAAGCTATAATGTTCAAAACCTCACGACAATAATATTCGAAATCTGATTTGTGTGGATTTGGCTGATCTGATTTGGCTTCCATGTCAATCCACCAACACCTTCTTCTTGATAAAACCATCCAAAGTCCCTCAAAATCCATTCAGGGCGGGGAGACGGCGTCGTCTTATGTTTTTGTGCATATGCAAGTACGTAAAAGCTTATGCTTGATGGTAAATCGTATGTCTGATTTTTATACTCAGTAAGTTGAGTGCCCGGACCTTATTTGGCCTTTCGATGTTTTGTCTTGTTCCATGAGCATCGAATGAATGCTTGAGCAATATTTGATCAAGCCGTGACCGAGGTGATTCCTCATTTGTGGAAAAAAGTTATTCCTCTTTTATCAGACATATATGGATCTCAACAGCTAAGTTCATGAGAAATGAGTGGTTTTTCGTATTAAAGCTTTTATTCTTGGTAGAAATAGAAAGTAAAGCAATGGTCATATCCCCTTACCAAAAAAAAAAAAAGCAATGGTCATATCGTGTTCTGCTACTTGGCTCATAACTCAAGTTGTTTTCAGGTTCTATCAGCTGCGGAGGGACACCTATCATCGAGATGGTGCAATATCATAGTATATACTTCAGTTTGTAAACGTGACTTTCTAGGGATGGCGTACTTGCTGCAGAGTTCTCCACTCCTGGAAAGGCTAGTCATATGCAATCCAAAATTCAATAAATTCGCAGTATTAATCCATCTTTAATTCTGAACGGAGTTACATATATGCTTTCGGCAGTCAGCCTCATATCATCTACTTTCGGGCTTTTACCATGGAGCTGCTGAAGTACAATCAAATCTCTTGTTGCCATTTATGTTTTACACACGTTCGCATTTACTTACGTAAACGAATTGGTGTGTGAAAAAGCTAGGATGCTTCGGAGCTACATGGTAAAAAGCTAATTGTTCTGTAGCAAAGGATGTGATCATTGATTCATTTGGGTCCGTGAGAACTTATAATGTGTTATACCAGATCAGACAAGCTTCTTTGTTTTTCATTTTTTTTGTACTAAATGTCACTGCTAGGTTATTGCTTCTCCAAGCTAGCTCTGAAAAAGCTACTATTGATGTGTGCTTTTTCAGTTCAAGAACCAGGATTTTCCGGAGCTCTCCAACTTCGATGAAAGGCAATTCTGGCGCTCACAGAAGGAGGTCTATTGTGTGGCAAATCATCTTAAAAGGGTTGAAATTGTCGGGTTCGAATTTGACAATAAGAAAACAAAACTTTTGCTTACCTTGGCCAAGTTTCTTCTCGAGGAGGCGGTTGGATTGGAGAAGATGATAATCGACGCCGAATTAAGGAAGTCGTGTCGAGGAGTACCCGTTGCCCCTCATGATCTGATTCAGCTGCAAGAAGGCTGTTGGAGAGTTTCCAGAAAAGCTCAGTTATAGTCAATTATCGTTTCAATGGACTCCCTTATGAGTCATGCAAGCATAAGCAAGATCACAAGCACTGGTATAGAAATAAAATTGCTCGTCTCTTTTTGTGCCACTTTTAATAGTGTGCGAATAAGTTGGATTTAGCAAATGCTTTGATGTCTCTTCATTTTGAGTTTTTCGAGTTTAAGATTTCCTTTGGATCGAGCTTCTTTGACTTTCATTAGCAATTTTTTCTTTGAAATCCTTAGTTTCCCAAAACATTTCGAGTTATGTATGGTTCAATTATGCAGATGGCTTAATGTTAACCAGATGGAAATACCACCGTGTTTGCTCATTAGGTTGTGAAAGTGGTTTACTTGTCCTCCAAGGACGGATTCAACTTTCCCTTCTTGGGTAAATCCGGAGTTCGTACGTGAATGTCGTGGGGTGGCCTATATGATCATTAGCTATGATGCCGTTGGTTCATATAGATTATAGACCAAGTCTATTTAATTACTTCATTAGCACACGTAGTATGTATTGGGCCCGAACGCATCTATTTATCTTATATGACAATTGATCTTGTCACGAAAGGCATATGCAAATCTCTCCACTTTATAAAAAGAATGAAAAGGAGGATTTCAATCTCAAACTTTTACCATTCAATACCATAAAATATCCTTTGGCGCGTTAGAATCTCATAATCCTAAACATGAGGTAAAATCCTAACCTATTGTATATAGTAAAGGCCGGAGCTAAGAGAATGCTTGCTCCTATGTTCTTCACGTGGCACCTCACTTTTTCTCTACGATCGCCACATTGCAGGACACAAGACATAGTTTTGCCATGTGGCTCGAATTCGACCAATAAGCTTTTAGCTTATTCATTTATCATCTCTTACCTTTTATCTTTAATTTAAATTTCATAAAGTTGATAAAGCAAAAGTATAACGAAAATTTGTTTTGTCTTGAGTTTAAAATCAGAAAATGGATAAATTAGTGAAAGTGTCTTTAAATATAAATGAGATAATTTTTAATTCAACAAACTCTCTTTAACCAAGAAAAAAATAAGATAGAATAAAACAAAAATAAAGATATATTTTCTCTCCTAAATTTATTTGCT